TCTGCTGCAGAGAGCCCACACCAGCACAGCAGCCTCACCAAACCCTGGGAGTGAATTCCGAAAGAACCTTTAATTTTGTTATGAAAACACAAGCCGTAGTCTCACACTGATCACCACGCAGGACACGCCAAGATATAGGGAGGCCCAGCTGCCAGTGGAATACCTATGGAGCACATTACCATATCCTGCAGTAGACTGTGCACCAGACATGACCATCCTGAGCTGATAATGGTTTGGAGGTTATTTGTTTGGTACTACTGAATTTGTAACACAGAAGTAACTTCTGACTTTTGTTCCTTCTGTTCATGAACATTAGCAAATGAAAAAAAAACCAACATTTTGCCTTGTGCCATTCTGCATCCTGTCCAACATCTGTGTGTATCTCTTGATTTTTCTTTCTCAACATTTTGGATGAACACAACACAAACTGTAGCTTCAGCACTAGCACCTCCCTGCTTTTCACACCATGGAGTCATTGGGAAATGTGTATTATATACAGACAACACTCCTGTGGTAGAAACCCTGTGCCCTGTGGGCCACATTTCACAAGGAGACCTGCAGACCCTCAAGCACGTGCTTGTCTTGTTTGTTGCCCCCACCACTCCCCGCCTGTGGCTTTCAGCTGAACAACTCCTTTCTGCCCTCAAATTTTTAAGAGAACTGTGGTAGCCTAACTTCCTGTCAACTGCTGCCTTGCCTTCTGAACGTGGCTGTCCTCTGGTAGTGGCGAAAGATTATTATTAATACAGTAAAGAAGAATGAAGCTGCTGTATAAAAGCTGCAACACAGCTCAGGCACAGCTTCAAGCTCTTACTGTTACAGAGATCGAACTGTTCAGGCCTTATGCAGGAGTTTTTAATGAGAAATATGAAAGGAACTGCATGACATGGATATCTGCAGTGCCAGGAGACCAGACTTAATGACCCAGTGAAGCTTCTTCCATCCTACATGCTGAGAAAGGTGTAACCCAGAAGCTGGGAGGCTGCTCCAGCATTAAAGACTTAAAAGGACATTCTCTCAAGAGGATAGCTCTGAGTATCTGGTTCTGTGCACAGGGTCTAGGCTTGTTTCAGGTTCTGGGTGTTGACAGGATGTTTTCTCAGTGCAGTTTGTTATTACCAGCTGATAAGGCTAAAAACACATCAAACTAGGTGCCTAACAAGCATCACTGGGTTGACCTCGGAATAGAAACTAGCTGTAACTTAACTCTGAAGGAACCTTATGGAGAATGTCAGTGGTTTTATATAGTTGTCTATTAATATTTTAGTGTCTGTGTCACCACATTAAGGGTTATATTTAGTCTGATTTTTATAGTAAATAAAATTTAAGTACAGATTTTTTCCCAGGTTTGGTTTTTCTCTTTTCAAAGCAAAGTTAAAAGATACAAGAATTATATCAAAGCTTATAATGAGAAAACAAAATTGCAAGGGGGTACAACTAACTTGCAAGGTTGTCAGAAATATTTTAAAGACTGATCTTCCTAAATCTGTTGTACAGGAGTCTTCTTCCTAGTCTCCAATTTTCCAGTATAACTCTCTCCCCTTGCTTTCCTACAATCCCCCCCAAGTCACAGAGAGTATACACGTGAAATTCAACATACCTAATTCACAAAAATTCTTTGAAAGCAGCCCTGCACATTGCAGACTTTTTTGGCTGAGCCATAGCAATGACTAAGCAATGGGAAAAGCCTCCCTTCAGTTCTACTGTAAAGGAAAATGTGGGTGGGGGAACTGGGCTTTCGGGGTCAAAGTCACTCAGCACTTGGGTGGCACTGTGGCAAAGAGGAAAGAGGAGGACTGGGTCTGGGATGGGAGGTTTCTCAGATTTCCATTCTCCAGCCATCCCTGTAGGGCCAAGCCAGCGACGGTGCGAGAGAGGGTGTCATTATTTGACTCAGCATGTTCCTAAGCCACAAGAGAGAAGTGACGTATGTAAAAAACTTGTTGCTCACTCTTATCTGATAAGAGGGATATCAAGGAGTTTTCTCCACTGCCTAGACATAGAGGAAGTCCTTCTTTGTCCTTGTATTTCACTTTCTCTGTCAGTATGCCTTCCTTGATGCAATTATTGTGACTTTACAGCCTCTAACACAAGACAGGAGACTTCACAGGTTTAAAGACATGATATGCAACCACAGGCTACCACATCCCCAAATACCCATTGTTTAGCTTCCTATTTACTCCACCAGCTTCAAAACTGTTTTCTGATATAACTGATTTAATTTAGTAAAATCCCAGACAGAGCCATCTCACCTCCCATGAATTTGGTGGATGTCTGCCTGGACCAAATCCATGAATTACGCTGCTGGACCAGCAAATGAATAAAGTCTGCCACATTTCTGTGATGCTTCTGGTAGAAAATGACAGTGCTTCCCCTACTGCCCAAACAGTCTTTGGTATTACTGTGCAGCTGTTCTTGCACCATCTTAGCCACAATCAATTTTATCTCCTCTAATATCATAAACTGCCTTTTGCAGAGCAGTGCTGCACAACGACACAGACCAACTCCCTGTGTTGTCCCTTCAAGCCACGTGTGTCTCAGAAGACATGGAGAGTCATATTGTGAATTAACTGAAGTTTCACAGTGATTCTGAAGTTGTCTGGATCTGCAAAAAATCTGCAGGGATATCTTTGCATGAAACAATGCCAGCCACCAAATGACATCAGAACTATTCGAGTCTCATTACACATCCACGTGGAAAGTTTCCAACCTATCAACCAAATAAAAATGCATAAAATAAAGGCTGTGATAGCAGGACCACCTACTGCAGCCCAGGCTCAAAGGAGTTTCTCAAGAGAATCCACAGGTGAAATAATGACAGTAAAAATTAGAAGCAGAAATCATTACCAGCCCTGCTCCTTGACTACCAACACTTCCAACAGTACAGTCAAAAACTGGATTGGGAATAAATGCATGTACAGTCAAGTCACTAGTAACCACCTGCAAAGATGATGAATGTTCACTTCATGAGGAGCAGAGCTAAGTACTCTCTTCCTGTAAAGAACACCACTATCAGAAATAATCTCTCCATCCTCTCAGCACCCTCAGGGAGGTGTTGAATAACAGACGAAATAAAATTTTGCAAAGCTTCACAGGAATGGAATGAAAGGAGGTGGGATAAAAAGACGTAAGTATTGGCTACCATATAGTTTCTCAAACAAAAGATGCCGCTGATTTCCACTAATAACATTTAGCTATAAATTAACACAACTTTAGAATAAAACCTACTGAGATACTCTGTACTTCACAGTCCAACTGTGCTGCTTATCTAAAATTATTTCAAGACATGCCCATAGGAAAAAAAAATTAAAAAAAAAATAAAATCACACCACCTTTTCTTCAAGAAATGACTATGTGGTAGAAGGAAATATTATTTCTTCCTTATTTCGGTTTTCATTTTTCAGGATTTCTGTTCCCTTTCACCAGGAAAGATTCTGTGTGTGCATGCATGAGACTATGAGTGCACTGTGTTATCTACACCCCCCCCCCCCCCGTAAAATCTGTTCCTAAAAGCAATCCATTTTCTGAAAGATGAAAAATTACTTAAGCACCTAAACAGCAAACACTAAACAGTCATTTGTACACAGAAAACAAAACACTTGAGTCTGCCAGACAGAGTTCTCACCAACCTAAATGTTATTTTTAAATGAACAAGAAATAGGTGATCCAGCCTGACAGCCCACATTCATCCACAGCAGAGAAACACACAGGTGCATTTTATACATGGCAGCATATTACACACACTACCACACACCAAACTGAAGTCCAAACTCTGTGTAGCTTTTGTAAAGCATCTCCAAAGCCATCTGAAATCGTCAGGTTTTCAGAGGCAAAGATTTTCTTTGAAAGACACTTGGTCATCTTTTTATTCACCACAGCGAAGGTGTCCAAGAGACTTTAACTAACCTCTGCTAATTCTACATAGGAACCTTTTAATGAATACCATGATACTGATAATAATTTGTTAATTATAAGACATATGAGCCATTTAAAGTTGTTTTTTTCCTCTTTGTGATGAAATATTAGGAACAGTGACCTTAAAACCAACTGATTCCTAGAGCTGGCGCTATGTCCCTAATGCCTGAAGAGACTTTTGCTTGATTTCACACAACACAAATGCACTTCTACGTTCCAAAGTGAATTCTCAGGTCTCAGTATCACATCTCCTTTGAAGAGATTAAATTACAAAACTAACTTCGAGCCTAGCTGCTGAAGAAAGTGTTTAGCTGCCACAAGTGATAGTGTCCCTTGGGACTCACCAGGATTCAGTCCCTGATCTTCCAGTACTGCTCCCATCCCGGTAACGGGCATGGATGCAGGGATTCACCTCTCCCAGGGCAATGTATCTCCCTGCAATTTTCAGCCCCAGTGGGCATGCCCTCCACAATGCTGTTAATATATATGGTACTGGTTCCAAGCAAATATAAACCAAAATTCATATGGCTTAAATGCCAAGATGAGCTTTTACTCGCACCTCTAACAAGCTCTAACAAGCTGAGAGTGTAAAAGTGGTGGTTCGTAGATACCAGGGGGAACTAGCTAACAAACATCCCTTGGAACCATAAAGTAAGATAAATACATTTAAATTCTGAAGAGAAGTCTTGTCATATTTGTCCAGAACAGTACAGAAGAGCTTCAGATGGGGAGATTCATTAAAAAATGCAGCATCTTTGTTTACCTAAGCCTGTGGTTTCTAAGTAGCTACTTTTTACTACGTTTATTTCTTGACTCAAAGCGAAAATGGGAATTCACCCTTTTCTCTTTTTTTCCTGTCCAATGTGCAGATGGGGCACATTTTCTCTCACTCCAGCCATCCCTGCCCCCCCACGCACAAGCTTGCATAGATGCACCTAGCCAGTGGAAAAGAAAAAAGGGTTACTCATTAATCCATTCTACAAAGCTTTCCAAACTGAAATGGGTGGGGTCTGCATCTCCAGCAGGGAGCAATATATAGATAGGTGCAGAGCATACCTGGGCACAGCTCAAACTGGAGTGTTAAACTTGGACAGCACAACTTTGCTCCTGGCCTATTTTAAAACAAAACTCATCAGGATGGAGAGAACGATTATTTTCTGTATGTTTTTCTTCTTTTCCAGTACAGTGCTGGCTGCAGCTTCACACAGAGCAGTAAAATACAAACAGATTCTCCTGGTAATTGAAAAGTTAGAACACGCAGTGAAAGATAAGGTAAGCAAAGTATTTGTCATAATACTGAAATTGTTTTCAAGCATTATGTGTTGTTTAGTATGTAACTTGTGAGGGGCATCACTTTCAGAAGTTTCCTAACTTAGATTTGTTTCATTGTAGGATGTTGAATGGCTGCATACACCTGAAAACCCTGTGGTGAGACTGCTTTACCATTTCTTTAATTTTAATTTAATTTAATTTCTTTAATCAATTTGATTTTGTACTGGTTTACTCCACTGATAAGTGGCACATGCCTTCTTCTTCCTATCTCTGACCTAGTACTCTAAACTTAGCTAGACGAAGAAAATACTTCTATAAAAGTTTCTTATTTCTAAATATTTAATAGCAGAACTGCTTATATTCTGCCGTCCTAATTACTGTTTTACTACCATATGTGTATTCTAAGCCACACACAGATTCATGTGATCCATTTACTCAAGAAACAGTGCTGAGAGTGAGGGTTCATTCAAGACCCAGATGAGCAGCAGTACTTTTGGGGATGTGGGTTTTGGGAGTGGAAGTGCCATGGGCTCCAAAGGGACTGCCTTTCCCTCCCACTGAAGCAGAATGCCAAGAGTGGCACTGTAAGGCCGTATCACAGAGCACTTCCTCTCATATGTACTCACACTGGTCTCTCTGAGACTGTATGCAAGGGTTGTGCTATCAACAGGAAGACAAAACTGCATTCTGCAAATAATTTCTGTGGATTATAACTAGTTAAAAATACAAGAACAGCTCCCAATGAATCCCTTTTTAATACTGATATTTATTTATATATTATTTATTGCTAATATTTTGCATCTTCCAAGGTCAGGAACTTCTTATACGTAGTAAATTTATAATTCCAGACTCACAGAAAGTCTGTGCATACTCAAAAGTGGCAGGATGGAGGATGTGTCACAAAATTAAATGCTAATCATAGTAATAACATGTCTTAAAAGCTTAGAGGGTAAATGCATCCTGCTTTGATAATCCCCAACATGCAACAAAGGTCTAGAGCAAACTGTGGCTAATATAATATTATACTTTTGTTATCAGCTGTCTTAAATTCTTGAGCCCTGACAACTATTTCATAACACAAACAATGTAGACTGACATATAAAAATAACCATTATGGATTATTATGCTGTAATGCTGCAAGCATTCTTACAAAAACTATCTACTCAGGACTGCAAACTCTCTTGTAAAGCAGCTTCAAGAAGGAAGGAAAGAAACTCACCTCATTTCACACAAGTTTTGGTTAGCTTCCTCCTAGGCTTTACAGTTGGCTGCCTTTTTTTACTTGCCAAAAATATACAGAAGCAGGACCAAAACAGGGACGTTCCTTTGCATTGCTGGAAAGAACTGCTGTGCACAAACCCAACGCACTCCAACTAATTGCTGGAGGTTTTTTTCATTAACACTCTTTCTAACTTGTGGTGTCAAAGTGAAAAGGAGGAGATGATTAGCTGTCATTTTACTACAGTGTTTGCTGCTACCTCTGAAACAAAGCAAATACAACTAGTGACTAATTGCTTCATCAAGTTGTTGGGTTTGGTTTTTTTTCTCAAAAAAACCCATGCTCACCTCAGGAAGGAAGACAACATTTCACTTGCAGCTTAGGGCTTTACAGTCTGATTCTGGGAGGTCCTAAGGTACCTCTGCTGAAAACTAGAGAAGACAGAGAACTCACGTATTTAGAAAATATTGAATTGATACGGGTTCAACTTCTGATGAAAAGCATTTAAAAAATATTAGTGTGCTAATAGTAATTATCACCAGCAACCAAATTAATGAACTTTTCATCCTACAGGGTGACTAAGATATGAATTACTGTGTGCCAAAGAGGCACTTGGGGGTGATTAGGTGCCACCACACCCTAATGAAACTTGATTTAATCAAAAGTTGTTCATATAACTGTATTTCAAATATCAAAAATACTGCTTTTATGATAACCTGCTTACGCCAGATGTAAATTTGGTCTTGAATATTCAAGAAGAAAACTACCTTTTGTAACACTCAAAATTAGGTGGTTTATCACCATCTGTTTTGGCTTCCTTGAGGTTCCTCTGTGTGGACTGTTAGTCCCAATACAATCCCACACAACTTCCTAGGGATGTCAGGTGACATCAACTCAAGGAAAATCATGCTGAGGCTGAAAAAGTAATTTTAATGCTGAAGTGATTCCAGAGTACAGGGAAGATAAACTTTCTTGCTGGTGATTGACAGTGCAGCTGAAGTCATAACACAGTGCTGATTTACACAGGATCAGTATCTAACCCCGCTGGCTAATTCTGGAAGTGAGGGCTTTACAGGCTAATCTGTGAAGCTAGTTTGAGTCAGATGCAGAGCAGTGCTGCAAATTGCCTCTGAGACAAATATTTTACAAGCTTGCCTAGCCCCCCTCAAACATTTCCAGTGGTCTGTGCTTTTTAATGCCTCTTCATTGAAGTGCTTAACCCGTGACCACGTACCAAACCCCACAATCCTTGCCGTCGTCTGACTGTTGGCCTGCCTGCAGCTGAGTGTTAACTCAGCAAAAAAAGAAAGGCAGTAGAGACGAGAAATGCTGGTTTCTCAGCTCATCACGGATGAGACAGAAAACGTTTTCAGTTTCAGCTGGAAAATCGTTCTCTTTTTAAAAAACGAATGGTTTTTTTCCAGTAAGCAAGACTGGTTACGGTAAGATGCTTGAAACAAACATAAATGTGTGGCTTTTAAGGAAAATAAAATGTTTTCTCTAACCAATATAAAATGTTGCTAGTAAGATTTGCTATAAGCAACATACATGGAGGTTGCCTTCTTGTTGCCTGGTCCTTGCCCAAGCAGCAAAGTGCAGTGTCATCTAGCAAACCGAAATGAGACTCCGCTTGGGTAGCAGTTGGTTAGGGTGCAAAGCAGGGATGGTGGCTTTGGAGCCTTTCTAAAACGCGCAATCAGCAGTCCTAAATGTTTCCTTCACTTAGAAACTGGCTTCAATAAACACTGCTTTTGTTTCTCTCTTGACTATTAGGTTAGTTTTGGTGGTATTTCCTGTATTCGTTTCCCATGTTATCATGTGAGAACATTTCAATAGTTCTACATCAACTCTAATTATTAAGGAGGCAGTATTAGAAATGGCACAAAAATTAGGATGAAAAAGGTATATTCCCACATGTAGCACTGAGAGATATTTGTAATTTTTTTAAATAAAATGCTCATGCTTGTGAAAACCTACTACATGTAACATATACACTTCAGGAGCATTTTTTTTTTAACTGCTGTCATGATTAATATCCAAGTGGAAATTTTAGTTAGAAAATACTAAGTGTTTAAGTAGTTAATCCAAGATCAGGCAAAGTAAAGATCTCTTGCATATCTAAAACTAACTTTAAAAAAAAAAGAGTACAATCGAATATTCTCAATTAATATCCTGGATACTTACTTTTGCACATGGACCACAACCTAACCACATGCAGGAAAAAGCGCTGAAACATTTGCTTTAAAACAGTTCCTTCTTTTCCTGCCCCAGGAGGGATGCATGGACACAGCTCTGAGCTGCTTCAAGAATGGCACACTGCAATTACAACCCTTAAACAGCCAAGTGAACACTACGTTCACCAAAGCCATCAGAGTCTTCAGAAAATACACCATCAGAAGTCCTGGAAAGGTAGGATTTCCTCACAGTGCTCAGAATGGTGATCATTGCTCCTTATTTTCTATAGCAGACACCACCTGCAAGGGTAGAATTGTAGAAAGCAAACTCGTTAGGAAAAAACAATCTGCCTTTCATTACTTCGGAAATTAAAAATGTCCAATTTTTGCATTTTTGGGAGAGGCATTCACTGGGATCCTGCATCAATCACATGTATGTACTTGGCAGCCACATGTGTGCTCGCAAAAGGACAGGGATCACTGCAAAAAACGTGAAGGAAAGGTGTCATTACTAAATTCTCTCCCTTTCTGAAACAGCTTGTGTTGAAGCTTTTCCAGTTGGAAAAGGCTCTGCTTACAACCCTCTTGGTTTTTCAGTGAGAAAGCTTGAAGCCTGATTTATGGTTCTGATGTGCTGGTTAGAAATGGCATGATTTTCTTTATTTTCCAGCAGTGTGAGTCTTCATGTGAATCCTACAAGAAGAAACCCCCCAAAGAGTTTTTGACGAGCTTTGCAAAACTAATCCAAAAGGTAAGCAGAGCTGATTTCTCCTAGGTGCTTTCTACATTTTGTGAACTATTACAGATATCCTTATTTTACATTATTTCTAACAATGCCTTGTTTTTACAGTTACTCAAGAACGAATATAGCACACAACAGAGCTGAAGGCTGCTGAAAATCTACTTCTTAAAGCAGACACTATGTTATTTAAGATGTGAAAAATGTAAATATTTTTTAGTGCTCTTATGCTGTGTTGTGTGTGTGGTAAGTGAAAGCTTCTCCCAAAATATTAAGGAGTCTTTTCTGGATGGCTATTCATAAGGTGGATGCTGTTTTGAAAGTGATCCTACAGTGAAAATTAAATTGTAATTTCACAAAAATAGGTTCTCTTAAGGGACTTAACTGTCACCTTCTGCTGAACTAGAAAGACTTGAGATCCTATATTTTTGCTTTGATCTTACATGAATCCCAAGCAGAGATGTCTAAAATTTTTTAAAGAAAATGAACAAATATACCACACACACACAATTTGATTTATAAGCTCTGTACCTTAGCTAACTATGGAAAAAATATCCTGCATTTAACTGCCTTCTAAATACTGGGAAGACATTTACAAATGTTACAAATCCATGGCATGTATGGCATGGGTCTGACCTGTGATTAATGGCACAATCTGCCTCAGGTTTCACCAGGGAGTGGAGTAACCCATGTGCTCTAAGTAAAGAGAAACAATTTTGAGTGGAAAAACACAGTTCAAAAGGTGGAATTCTACCTAGACTCCCCCAACATAACATGATAGATACAGCACAGGCATGACTGGCTGGTGTGACCAGCCACCTCAAAAGGTCCAATAAACACAGTAATTGATGATTATTCAGAGTGAAGCAGCTCAAATGCATATTGCTCTTTCTCAGAGGACAATATTTTACACTCATATTCATGTACTATATTAACATTATTCCTTCTCTCTCCATTCATTTTAACAGTTTAAGCTTTATTTACAGTTTATCCTTAAATCTGTCAAGTTTTTTGTTATGTGGAAACCTGCCTGTACAGCTTCTCAGTCCTGAATGTTTCTGTGGAACTATGGCCAGAGATACCACTGAAACTTTTTGAAGTAAAAGTGAGTATCATAGCACTTAAAAGTACTTTTAGCAGCTTAATTATATATCACCATATTCTGCTTGCAATGATTCTGAACCTCTGGACTCATCCACCTGAGCAGCAACTGCTAATTTACCCCCAGAGAGATATTAGCCCCACATGAGGGAACTGCCCTTGGAAGAGAGGGTAAAGCCTTCCAGTAAAAATTAACCTTTCAGGTAATTTTTCTCTCTACTTAGTAGAAATGTGGTATAGACAGGAAACTGGAAAACTACATCTAGTGTTACAATGGAAAGTTACAAGCTCAGTTACCGCCACAAATAATGAGGCGTATTAAAAATATTTCCATTCCTACCAACGTGGGCCTAAAGGAAAACTAATACAAAAAGCTTTGCTGCCTCTACATTTTGCTGTCCTGAAATGTGAACTTCCTAATGGAGGAGGAGGAGGAAGGAAGATCCTTAGGGCAACAACAAACCAAGTCTCCGCAGTGAACTCTCCTTGTTTCTGGTGATGGCCATTTTGATTTAGAGCATCTTTTTCTTCTCCTTTTCTTTTCTTTTTTTTTTTTTTTCTGTTTCAAAAACCGCTTTTCAGACTCTGAGTAATATTCTATCTCACATCTCAGTGTTTCCATATCACTGCATGAGAATGAACATTCTAAACATGAGCTACCACTCCTATGTACGTAATCAAGCTACTAAGTGTAAAGGATGTTCTTTCTGCACCTTCTATCCCCACTTCTGACTCACCTGCCCATTAAGTCCCTTCTCCACCAATTGCTGAGCAATATGCAAGGCTGCTGCTGAGACTGCAATGCATTTTGAAGTTACAGAAGCAGAGAAAGGGAAAAATTTAATTTCAGATTTGGATAAAAACAACTGGGAAAATATTAAAGCAAGTCCTGCAGTTGCAGTGTACCGACATTCATATTTTTATGGAGGAGTTTAACTGAATGCCTTTATTGGGAATTAAGTGCCTTTTTTGGTGATTATTAGAAGGTCAACCAATAAACTAGCACTTTTCACTTACTTCCATGTGAGTTTTGCATATTTGCATATGCAGAGTTTTAGGGAAAGAGCTTTATTTTTGTAGAAAGAATACAGTATATATTTTTTTATTTGTAAATGTCTTTTCCAGTAACTTGCTAAATGCCTTAAATCAATATTCTAAAAGGGCCTATTCTAAAAGACTGAAAAGTCTTGTTGTGCAGATGAAATGTTTTTAGCATTTTAACACAAACGACATTGTACATTACCTATTTATTAGCAATCATTATAAAGCATTGAGAGGGAAGTTTAGTATCTGGGATGGATATTTTATGAATGGAAAGAATTCCCTACGGGAATGTCATAAGCTAACTGGTTACTCCTGCCCACACTGCAGCAATTTCTGGGTTTCGTGCAGGAGACAGCACGTAATGCAGTAAGCAATGTAGCTATTTCTGTTTAGTGACTTGCTCCAGCCTTTTAACTATGGGTCTTATCACACCTAGCATAGTGCTAAAGAGGTTTTCTTCTTTGTTTTAAACATAATATACTTGCTTGTTAATTGAGGCTATTTCTTGTACCAGCAGAACAACTTAAAATGCTCATTTGTAGGATTCAAAAAACTAGTGGGAAACTGCAACAAACGTAACTTAGAGGGTTAACTGCTCTGAGATCTTGCAGAAAACCAAAAGTATTGGACAATCCAGTCCAGTGATGTATGGAGAATATTAATTACAAAACTTTCACAGCTGATGTTCATTAACACCACGCTTCTGGGCAGTGTCAGCACAGTCACAGCGGGCAACTCCGTACACTTCAAATACGCTTTGATTCACACGATCCTGTGGCTCCGTGCTAACTTCGATTTGTCAGAGTTACGAAAGGCTGAGGGTGTTATTCAGTGTGCTATTTGAAGAACAGGATGAATGAAGAACAGGAAATCTGTGCACAACAAACCAGCCTTCAAGACATCATCTCGTTCTGCAACACCGTTCTCAGAATAAGAAATTAAGACACACCAGGAGGAACCTGTGATCCTAGGAAGGACCATATCACACATCAGGATGTGTACACAGCCTTGACTTACTTCCTTGTGTAAGATGGACTCTCTTTGTACTAACTGCACTCTCTGCAGAAATAATGTATTTTTCATTAACTGAGTGTAAGCCTTTTGTAAAAGCTCATTACCTCCCAGGGAGGCTTTACAATATATTTATGACTTTGATCATAAGTGCACTTTTCAGGTACTTCAAGATGTGTTTTAGCATGGTATATACAATTCTGTGTAATATTTACTTTTCCAGAGAAGATTATTTTTATACCCACTGACTCATCTAATTTAATTATTTATTGCATTTCTGTAAAGGGAATGTTCATACTAAGGACTATATGGTCTGATTAATTTATATGCCTGTGATATTAAACAATTTTACCTAACACAGCTTTCTCTTGTTCTATTCTTTTAGAACTTCTTTCTGTAGTTATCTGAGTGAGAAGTATTCCCTGGGGAATAGTTAGGGGTCTTCCATCCCGTAAATTACATACCTGGTTTGGAGTGGGGTGACTTGTTCCTGAGTATTTCTGCTTCTCTTCACCGAGTGAACAGATGACTCAGAACTGACTAATAGCTAATTCTGGCTCCCACTGAGATTGCTTGGATTAGACTCTATCCTGGTTTTCTTTGAAAACCATTCCTACCCTGACAGTGGCTGATAAGTGAACTTTGTTAGCCTACACTGTCATCAATTTATCAGATCAGGGACATGGTATACAAAGTTTATCTTCTTCATATAACCATTAAGAAGGAGTCGTTAACTTTTTATTGCTCCCATCTCACTTGAAAATATTTTTTAAAAAAATGGGCTTTTCGGGGTTAATAAAGTCCTTCTGGCAAACTCATGGCAGGTTCAATGACATCACCCAGATTTCTTTAGACTGCCATGAACAAAAATCGGATAACATTCTGTGTAGAGTCAAAACAGGAAAAGTCAAACACATGAACACATAACTATAAAAGTAACAATTATCCAGTCTGTTTTTCACTCTTCTCTCTCCTCATCTTTTTTTTTCCTTGCTTTGAAATGTCAATCCTTTTATCACAGCCCAATTTAACAGGATGTGCTGAAGTTCAAAAAATATGTATTATAGTTTACAATGGTAGCTATGTTTTATCTTTTATTAAAATGCCTTTTCCCTGAAATGTAACAAAAATGGATCAACAACAAACAAGCACAAAGTTCTAATGAAAACAAACACTAAACAGTTCAACAGCTATTCCTCTCCTTTTTAGAAAACACTGACTCAAATAGTAACTACTTTCATTGTGTTTTCTGTCATCCCACAACTGCATTTGTTGGGCCTGATTTCCTTTAAAAAAAAAATCCTTAAAAAATAAATGGAAACAGAGAGGAAGTGTCATAAAACACTGGAGGCTTCAGGCATGAACTGCTCCTGCGTCCAGGACAGAGGGTGATGTGCTCACTCAAAAGAAGAGCCAGCAGACTCATTCCCAAGGATCTGGATGTGCAAGCTGCCTCCTGCTGGCTCCCAAACAGTTCAGTGGTGGTGAACACCCGAATCTGCACCTTAGATCTCCCTGTGAAAGGCTTTGGAAGGAAGAGCAAAAGGATAGGGTCTAATCCTCCTGTCTTGGCACACAAGAAACCAGTGGGAGCCAGGGCTGGTGGGATCCACCCAGAATTAACTGTTAGTCAAGTCTGAGTTATCTGACTTCACTCAGTGAGAAGCAGAAATATTCAGGAACAAGGCACCCCACTCCAAACCAGGTATGTATTACAGGGGACTGGAAAAACCACAGGGAATAGTTCTCACACAGATAACTACGTATTGAAGCCCATGACTAGGTATGATCAATCTCACTCAAACTATGTAGGATTCAAATGCAAGTCAAAAGGTTGAGAGTACTTTCTTTGGCTAACACAGTTTCTCCAAGTGCATATTTGCTAAATACACCACAGCCTCTCTTTCCTGATAGAACACACTTAATTTTGCACAAACACACTGCTTTTATTTCTTACTTGCACTTTTCAGTATTTCCACCTACAGCTACAACCACCTTAGAAAACACAGGAAAGAAAATATTTGGAGTAGACATTTCTTTGCTTTTAACATGGAAGGAAGCTGAAACATAAATACAGATTAAGTAAGATTTCAGAAAAATTTTTAGTGTATTTGTTGGAGCACGTCATGCAATGTACTTTGTGCACTGCATGGATAGTGCTAATGCAAAAGGGAACACAGAGCCTCCCAAATCAAAGGCAATTATTCCAACGCTAGAATAACAACTAATGACTCTGCTGAGAAGTTCAGACACAGTTTTGCCCAAATTGAGCTAGATGTCTGTATATCTGTAAAAGATAAATCTCAAATATGCTGGTTCATACTGTGTGCTCTCTCAATAAGGTTTTTTTACACCCCCTGCATATTGTCCTAACAGCTGCGGGGGCAAACACAACACAAAACTGCCCTACAGTGTTCTCTGCTTGTGCTGATAAACCATGTCGTAAGAGCAGCTAAGGAGAAAAAGAACATTTCCTAGTCAAACATGTTTGCCCAAGCTGCTGATCTAAATTGCTGTGCTGCCACCTTCTGATAACTGCACGGAAATTTAAAGCAATTCCAGACACCAAATGGGTAAGTTGAAAATCATGCTCATCACAGTAAGCTCTGAGATACACCACAAACATAATAAATAAGTCCTCTACTTTCCATTTAGTTTTCCCCTTTCCTGCTTATACAGCTGAAGGTTTCCCAGTATTCTTTTCTTGTCCAGTTGTGTTATTGTTGTAACCCCATGAAGTGTATACTAAACTATCCCTCACCACATCACTTAGGCTCTTCAGCAGCTTCTTCTTACCTCTACCTCTTTTCACTTCTTGAAGATGACCTTATTATATTAAACTTCTCTCTCTACTGTTTCCTGTCCCCTCTCCATGCTCATCCTTGATTCTCTATCTTCTTCCCATTCTTCCAATTTCCCACATTTGTTTTCCAACTCCAGTTCACTTTTTTCCTTCTGTTATGCTGCCTCAAATTTCCTTTCTGTTTTCAAAGATTTTCAGGCACTTAGGTGGTGCATAATCATCAGCTGCACAATTCCATTAAAATGGAAAAAGAGTTGAACATAATGCTAATGTCTAGTGGCATAAAGTTAAATCTCTGGAAGAACATCCTGACAAGGAAGTCAGAAAGATTTTCACTTTCAAGCCAAAGAAGTGAGGGAACCACTCATAAACCAAATGTAGTGGAAGATACAGTACATCTCATACCAAGCGTATCACAACAGATCAGACAAATGCTTTAACACTGTGACAGAGCAGCTCTCTCATCCTCCCTCAAATCCTTAAAATAAATGGAAAGACAACAAATGAAAAAGGGGTCAAGGCTTGAACCAGTTGATACAAAGATGGGACTGAATGGAAGGCAGGACTTGCAGGGAGTGAAATATAGAAGAGCATGTGAGGTTGGCACCCCAAATCCAGCACTTCACCAAATGAAGAAGCAACTCCAAGCCTTTATGGATGGCCAGGACACACGCCGGTGTAAAGAGCCGATCATTGCACAAGAGGGCAGCAGGCAGCTTGCAAAAATTAATCTCACCAACACTCAAGCACAGGGAGCTTAACTAAAAAGACCTACAATGCTCCCAATCCTGAGAAAGAACTAATGATCAAGAGTTACAAAGTTGACTTTTTCAATACAAACTAAGATACTTCAGGATTTGGTGAACTTCTCCAGGAAGAAAAGGTGACATTTGCCTGTCCTTGACCCAAACTCAGTGACACCACACCTGTATGAAGACACATAGGTATGGGACCCACCACACACACATCATCCTCCTGCCAGCTCTCCTAGTGCCTTAGGAATGCTTTTCCCAAGGGCACCCCCTCAGACAATGTGCACTTGCTAATGCTAAGGCCAATTTTAAATTCAGTATCTGTAAGGAAGCAAGTTGGAAGTTTGTACAATATTTTGCTCCCTCCCACACATATGATCCCTCTTTTCAAGGCTGCTTAAGAAACAGAGTGTATAAAGATACCAGTGAATAAAGTCAGTACAGCAAGAAGCATCTGGCTCGCTTGCTTGTATTTTAAAAGCAGTATCAAGAACATTAAAGGCTCTTTGCCTGGGTTCTGTGAGCAAAGCACACACAGGAAACTCAAAACACCCATCACAATTTATTTCACCGCTCAAACATACTCTGTGATGAGACTGAACATTTTTGCTACATGGTGATGATGGGTTTTGGGGTCTTTTTGAGTAAGACTTCATTCTGTGGAAAACTAGTATTTTGAAGCAAAAATAGCTTGAGATCAAATATACTTAAACTGAAAAAAGGCATAAAACTATCTAGTTATAAAGTTTTAAAAGTTTGTTGTTGATTGCATTATGTATTCTCTTTTACAGGCACATTTCAAAAGACATCTACTTAATAATCCCTATTTCTTCTTCCCATATTCAGTTCTTTTCCAGTCTTAATTTACTCTTCCTCATTTAGTCTTTCTTCTGTCCTCCTTCTCCCCTCTAGATAAGCCACTTAAATGGTGCCTGACATTTACAGCTCTTGCATTAACACCAGACAGGACAAAGCATTGACAAATCTTGCCCCACCTTCCGTCAGAGGTGCATTCCTTATCAACTTCCTGCCTCCCTTCCTGGTGGATATTTTTGCTTGAACTCTGTCTGTTCAGGTGCTGCACTGCATTGCTACCCTAATTTTTTCCATCCTACCTTTACAGGAATATGTTTAGACAACCATACATGAATAAGCTTTGTTTGGAGAGACTGCCTTCAGAATTATTCTTCCTTTCCTCATTCTCCTCCACCTTTTTAACTCACTCAATCTCAACCCTTCACTGGGTTCACAATTTTGGCTGGGCAAGTGTAACTGCAA